TTTCTTTCCCCCATTCTGTTTATAGATTTTTTTTTGCCCTTTCCTGGTCTTCTATAATGTTAGGACATCCCTGGGGCTCTGTCCAGCTTCTCTTTGGTATCTGTTGCTTTCACTGGGAAAGCTCTTCTGGCCCTTTGGTTGCCTCTCATCACCAGTCTGTCTCTCTCCTGAGCTCTGAAGGCCTATTTCTGGAACTCTGTTGAACACAATACCTGTTGTCCTGGTGCTAGTAGTATTTCTAGGATTTTGAATCTCTGGGAAACTGCATAAGAAACTGAGCATGTAAAGACCTTTGATTGTAAAGACCTGGTTACCTAAAGGGCCAAAATGGGGGGGGGAGGGGTCTCACATCACACTTTTAGACCTCTGACTTCTTTTTGAAAATAGTTGTCTCAGAAGCATAGTGTCTTCATTTATGTAGCTACTTCTCCAATGTTGAACATGTATTTTTCTTCCTATTTATGATGAAGGCATATCTGTAATGAGCATTATTATTATTATTATTATTATTATTATTATTTTGGTTTTTCGAGACAGGGTTTCTCTGTGTAGCCCTGGCTGTCCTGGAACTCACTCTGTAGACCAGGCTAACCTCGAACTCTCGAACTCAGAAATCTACCTGCCTCTGCCTCCCAAGTGCTGGGATTAAAGGCCTGTGTCACCACCGCCTGGCTGTAATGAATATTCTACATATAACTTTTTCTACATTATTTCCATGGGATAGAAAACGTAAGGTGAGTTTTACAGATTAAATTTGAGGGGTATTATTACAATATTATGCTACAGTCCCAGCACATGTTCCCAACAGCTGGGTGACTTGATTCCTTCTCTTTTTCTAAATATGTTGTTAGCTGGAGACCAAAAAAGTGGTACTTCGTGCATTTCTTGAATGTGTCCTAGGTCTGGCCATTCATAGAACTCTGCCCTTCTGGATTGAGTCTCCGTGTACCCTCCTGTAAAGTACTGGTCCATGCATGCCTCTACTCGCTGATTTACCAGGGTCTTTGTTGTTTTGCTTGACTTTATGTGTGGTGTTTATTCAAGTAGGACATTAATCCTCTGTCATAGTTGTTTCTAACTGACTTAGATCTTTAGAAATGAGTGGTTTGGAGAGAAAAAAAAACTCCAGCAAAAGAACACTTAGTGTATGCAGAGCTAGATTGCCTCAAGGAGAGAACTGAAGAAGAGTCACACCTTCCCACATGTCTGGTGATTTATCCATGCAAAAGGTGCTGGAACAAGTAGGAGAAATGCCCAGGTGGCCCAGAGTCCTTGACAATCCATTTGACTGTGATCTCTGGACAGTGAAAGAAATGAGAGAATATTGAACAGAAGTATAGTAGGTTGTATCGGTAATTACCCCAGAATTCAGAAACTTTGCATTGGTCCCCACTGTGTGTTTTCTTATGGTAATTTAACGGCCTTGTTCTACAACCCTTCAGTTGTCATTGCTTCCTTTTGAAACAATTAAACTCAATTATTTCACTTACTCTTGGTGCTTATATCAACAGCTCTTTCCCTCTAAGGCTCTCAGCCACTTGTCTGTTTGTAATACAGGCTCAACACTTGAACTATTTGTAGGAACACTTGACAGTGTTGAGAGATAAAATGACCTTTTTAAGCTTTTCTGTGCCAGAGATCGTTTTTATAATGTCTTTTCAAATGAGTAATGGCTTGGCTTGGCTTAGGCCAGGCACTTATCAAATACTGGATAGTTTGTTAACCTTGGGTGGGATAGTTTAGGATTGAAAGATAGTCACCTGGGTTCAGAGCCCAGCACTGCCACACGCTAGGTCAAATCTGTCTGGGTCAGTGTGTGAGGATTGAATGAGAAAAGACATATCAAGCGCCATCCACCTCATGGTTGGTACTGAACTGTGGATTATTAATGTCTTGTTATCCTTTTGGACGGTCATGTGTATGAAGTAGCCTCTTTCGTTGAGGATTGGAATATGTATACCTGAGCACATAGCTGTCATCCACTCTCATCTGCTTCAAGGTCTTTCCCCTTTAAAATTATTGTCTTCTCCAGCCTTGGAGTTGGAGATTGGTAAGTAGATATCTTAACATTGTCCACTAGTTGTTAAAATCTAGTAAGTCTTGTCAAGTGTTTACATTCAACTCTGGGACACTCCCTTCCTTTGTAACTTTAATTACCTAAGTAATTTGGTTTGTTCACTTTTAGTATTCATGTTATGTTCCTTCGTCTTACTCTGGAGACTTCTCACTAACTTTCTTTGACCTTAGTGTCCTGAATATTAAAGGCATACACCCCTAAACCCACCTAAAACTTGTGATAATGTTTTACACAAAAAAATTTAGTGTTCTGTAGTCCACTTAGTTCACTGTGGATATTAAGGCCTGGTGAGACTAAATCCTGAGAAGTAAACAGATGATCATGTCAGAAAGGTTTACAACAGGGCAGAGACTCAAAGATAAGAAAGGATAAACCAGAAAGCTAGACAATAGGAAGAGTTAAGAACCTCTCTCCTTGAGAAGAATTCAAGGCAGAAACTCAAGCAGCTAATCATATCACATCCACAGTCAAGAGCAAAGAGAACATATGCACTTCTTTGCTCACTTGGACCCAGTTAGCTTTCTCTCTTTTAAACAGTTCAGGGCACAGACCATGAAATGGTGCCACACACCTTCAGGGTGGGTGTTCCCATCTCAGTTAATAATCAAGACACTCTCCCATAGACATGCCCACAGACTAACCTCATACAGGTAATTCCTCAGTAAGACCCTTGCCTGGGTGGTTTTAGCTTGTTTCAAGTTGACAATTTGAACTACCCAGTACTAAGGGCAGTTGGAGGTTGGGCGTTTACTCCAAGGAGACCACAAAAAAGAGTTGAGCTATTTTGTCACTGGGATACTTGACTTGGGTTTGGATGACAGACAGTCCATACTTTAATGCTGATGAAAAATGACAAGTGAGAGGCCATACATTAACTGGTCAGGTCGGTCTTTGGATTCTAGCATAGATACGAGCATTCAAGTGCTGGAGGCTGCGTTTGTGGCTTGCATCCTTTTAGCACACAGCTCTGTGCACAGAGTGCATCTATTATGTGCCATGTGAGTGTTAAACTTAATTTCTGGCAGTATCTCCCTTTGAGGATCATCTGCTAACATGAACTGTATACAGGCTGGCCAACTCTTTCTTTATAGCACTGCACATTTTTATTTGAAATATTCATAGTGATATAATCAAGAGGCTGATCATTACAGTGTGTTTAATGATAAATGTTTTCCCTTAGTCGCCAGAATTAAATACATTAAAAGAGGAAAGGAGAAAAAAACTGTAAGAAATAGATTCAAATAGGATTAAAATAACTGGTGGTTAACCCTCCCACAATGTAGGGGATCCTGTGGATTGTGTCAGCCTTCCCAAAACTGAATATTTGAAGTAGAGTGGCATAACTGGGAAAGAATCTACCCATGCAAAAACATGTCTGTGGTTCTGAGCTAGTGAAGTGTCTTCTCTTAGGGCCAGTAACACTCCATGCCAAAGGGGAAAAATATAGAAGGGCACCATAGTGGTGTCATGTCAAAGGTATGTCTAGAAATTAAAAAGAGGTTTTTGACATTGTGTGTATTTGTGTGTGCATGTGTGTACCTGTGTTTGTATTGGGAGGGTGGCATACAGATTTCACAGTGCGTGTATGGAGGTCAGAGGGCAACATTGTGGAACTGGTTTTCTCGCCACTTTTATGTGGTTTCTGGGAATCAAACTCAGATCACCAACCTTGAGCAGCAAACCCCTTTACCCACTGAACCTTCTCTCCAGCTGGCTTTGGCTTCTTTAATTCTGAGATATATAGCCAAATTTCCTTAGGTAAGGGCTTTGAAAAGCTAAGAGATTGTAAAAGTGTAGAGCAAAGTCTTCTGAACTTGACCTTAAGCTAAGTTGGTATGAGTTGTAGAGCATATTGAGTTACTCTGATTTTTCTTAAACTTTGGAGAGTTTTACATTTATTTCCATTCTGTGAAGTTTTCTTTCTCTTTTAGGTATTCTGAACCACTTACCAGTTATTAACAACAACACAAAAAATCAGAGTATTGATGGCTTCTCTAGGCTATGGTGTTCTTGCAAAAGCTTTGCTGAATCCTGAATGAAGAATTAAAGCAATGGTTAATGAATATGGGCAGAGCTCAGTAGACAGGCACATGCTTTGCCTGGAGCTCCAGCCACAAGACAAAAATGACAGTGGAGATCAGTTCTTGTTATTAAAACCAGTTTGCAAGTGGATTAAAATATTAGAATTAAGCCAGGCAGTGGTGATGCACACCTTTAATGCCAGTGCTCAGAAGGCAGATGGATCTCTGAGTTGAAGGCCAGCCTGGTCAACCGAGGGAGTTCCAGGACAGCCAGGGCTACACAGAGAAACCCTGTCTTGAAAAAAAAGAAACAGGAGGGGGAGGTGGGGAGAGGGAGAGAGAATGAATATATATTAGAATTAAGCAAAGAATGGTAATTCATGCCTATAATCGCAGTATTCCTCAGGCCAAGGCAGAAAGATCACAAGCTATAAACCACCCTGGCCTACGTGGCAAGACCCTGTCTAGAAAAAGTAGAATTAAAATAGTTGGTGCCATGAAGAACAGCAACAGTGTGTCATTTAAAAAAAAAAAAAAAGTACACCAAAGATGCCATGGGCCTGTTTACCCAGCCGTCATATAATGGACAGGAATTAGGAGGCTGATCACTGTCCTTGTACATGCATATGAAATGCATCGTTTGTCCTCGGACTGTAAAGAGCCAGTGGTCTACAGAGCATCCCAGCAGCAGTTTGCCATTTGTATGTGACTTGTTTGGGATAGACTTGTTTTCCTAAATCTGCTTGCTTAGCCATCCTCAAATAGACAAGCAAAGATCAAACTGGGTTATCTGTAGGAGAATATCCAACCATTAATTCTAGAGAAAAAAAATCTTTGAAATTCATTTAAAAGCAGAACCTCATACCTGCTGACATCTTTTCTCTTTTCTCTGAATTCATTAGAATGTATGCTGTCAGGAGAATAAGAGATGCCTTCCGAGAAAATAAGAATGTAAAAGACCCCGTAGAAATTCAAGCCCTGGTGAATAAAGCCAAAAGAGACCTTGAAATAATCCGCAGACAGGTAAGATGGTTTGGTGACAGACTGCTTCTCATTACTCGTCGTCAGCTTTGACATTCCCTCCTTGATTGGACATCACTGCTTTGGTGTTTGTGATTTAAACCACAGGATGGTGAGGCACTGTCCTCTTTCCTAATGCAGACATACAAAGATAAACTGTCCTATCACCAGATTCAAGGACATTCTACAGGAAAATACCAGCTTTCTGGGACTCCTGGGGCCTGGTTCTTCCAGGAAACTGAGCTCTGAGCTCTTAGGCTTTACTGAAGTTCATGGTTGGTTTCAGTGTGAGAAACCCCAGGGGAAAGAAAACTGCATTTTATTTAATCCAAGGGTTTCTAGGATGTTCTGTACATGGCTATGTGGCATATGTCAAAACATAAATATATCCTTCCTTTCCTAATATTTGTCATCAGAATTTAAGATGAATAGAATGGGTTATAAGCATGAGGTATGTTACCATGTGACAGGTGTGTTTGTAGACACAGGAACAGAGTGCATTTGCTTACATGCTGGCCCACAGTGAAGCTGAGAGGTGTTTCTGATTTCGTTCTGCATCACCCTGACTCGGGCTTGTATTTCTGGATCTTTGTAAGGTGAGCCTAGCCTACATGCAGCATAGTCTCCTGGCTAGTGTGATACTATAGTGTCCGACTTCTGAATAACTGAAATGTCAAAGATTACTGTCATCTCCTGTTGATCGGCTTTCTGCCCTAAACTTCCCATTTCACATCTCTTCAAATTGCCAGAGCGCCATTTCTTTTTTGCATCTGTTTTCACTCTTATAGCAAATTTGTTTATGAAGTGCTAATTGTGGAGGGTGAACATTTCCAGAGTTCTGTTGTGTTCTAGTATGGCTTTGTTGGTTCCCCCCTTAGAAGATTCCTGCATGGCCATCGTTGTACCACAGTCAGTCTTTCCCTGGTTCTTTTCACAGTTGTCTCAAAATAGAAGTTAAACAAGAAAATAGTATGAAAAATGAAATTTGCATTTTAAGTCAAGATTAAGTGTGTTTCTGTTTTTACATAGTGGAGCAAACTCTTCTTGAGTAGCATCAAGACTGAGAATCCTCTGAGTTCTGCAGTTACCTAGTGAGAGAATATCCAGCCACATTCAGACATGCCTAGGAATTGATCATCAGCTAAAGGCCTAAACAAGCTAATAAGGTCAGCAGGAAAAGGCCAACCCATACATTTGCATATACTTGAGAGCTAGGATACATGAGTCACTTGGGAAACTTGAGGCCGATAGTACTTTACGGGCTCCAGTGGTTGGATCATTTCATGGGATCCTCCAGCAGTAGAACTTAGGAAAATAAGCAACTTGATTCTGTGCATTACATAAACACAAAACAATTAGGATCTTCTTCATGTTCCTCTGTGTAGAGATCAGCAAGCGTGATCAGAATACAAACTGCATTTGAAACAGGACCAATATCTCTCATGTCATTCTTTAATTGTCTGTGTTGCCTTGTGGTTTGAAATGGTGAAACTACTCTCAAAAGATAAGCCAGCGTTAGGGTCATGGCTTCATGATAGGACACTTGCCTACTGTGCACAAGGCCTTTTAAGTCTATCCCCAAAATTGTAAAGAGAAAATAATCAAAAAATAAAAGACAGACCGTGGCCTTCTGCCAACTTCCCAGTGAATATACACTAAAAACATCCTGAGAAATGGACTGTGAGCAAGCTAGTGGTCCTACCTCAGAACAGCCCAGTGACTGCACTTTCCTAGGGGGGATGTACACTGCCTCCTTCCAAGGCCAGGGTTGCCATGTCAGACAGGCTTGACTAAGGCGGTGCTCTCACTGCACTGGAAAACTTAGTCAGTTACATCTGAGCAACCAGCTAATTCCTATTTACTTCCCTTTTGTGTCAAGTCTCCTGAACCCAAGTGCCACATCTACCGTAGTAGAGCACTAGCTGAGTCTACTTGCTATAAGCTGCCATTCGCTGGCCTTAGAGCAAAGGCCTAAAGGAGGAGAGGAGACTAGACTGTCACACCAGCCTCTGCACTGGCCACTGTCATAGCCATCTGAGTTGCCTTACTGTGTCCCCTGGGATCTATTTACACACCAGTCTGATCATTTTCCAAAAAAAAGATCAGGTCCACTGACCATCCTGCTGAGCTTCCCCCAGAGGCTTCAAAGAAGCATCTTGACAGGAAGTCTGTAATTCTCGTGAGATCTTCAGAGGCCCTTCACTGTTCTCCTGCCCCTCACTCACGCTGTTCCCATTGCTGGGCCCGATGCACAGCCAGCTTTCATCTACCACTTTCCAGAGGAATCCAGCCCGATTCCCGGGGTATGCTTTTCCTCTGTGGCTACATGCCCCTTATTCCTCAGATTACTTATCAGGACCTAAAATACTAGTATGCAGAGCCTTATCTGTTTTCCCCCACCCTATGAGGACAGTATCTGACCTGTACCGTAGTCACTGTCCACAAGAACCTATCTGCACTAAGTCCAAACTTGAGCTCCCAGTGTATGACCTTGAGCAGGATACTTAACCCCTCAGTGCCTAGTGGGAAATACAAGTGGAATTGTGGAAAGCATCCAATTAGGTAATATATGAAAAGCCCTGAAATGATAGTCACACCTGAGAAGTATTTGCCATTCTTATCTGCCGTGTAAAAAAACAGTGTCACATAGAACTAACTCCTAGTGTTTGTTAACTAAATGGAAATGTGTGATTTGTCCCCAAGATCGCCTCAGGTATAGGATCTGTGCTGCCAAAGTTGTGTAGTCTCCTTCCTGTCAAGCCCCTCTTCTGGAGCTGGTGGTCCCCAACCACACAATTCAGTGATAACTCCCCTCAGTCCTTTGAATCAGAAGCCTTGGACACCAGTTCAGCTGCCAGATACACTGATGCCAAAGACAGTAGTCCAGCTGAAATCCCCCCACTTCATATGATGTGGCCTGCTAGTCAGCTTGTCAGGGCAGCTTCCCCTGTCACTTCAATCATCCCTGATGCTGAGACCACCAAAAGCACAGTAAGATTTTTGCAATTTTTAAAGAACTCTCCAAACAAAACCCAAGGTTCAGGAAAGCTTTTTCCAAGGCCAAAGGCCAGACATGAGCTCAGATCTCTTCATTCTTTAGCAAACTCAGAAGTTCATGGACATTATTAGCTCCTGGCTCAGTAGAAACAGATAAAAGTCATCCTTGCCTTTCTGTTCCCAGAATGATAAGAGCGTCACTTTCCTAGCTCAGCCTCTCCTCGGGTCATTCAGTCTCTCTCCACATTCTTCATATACAGGATATTGAATCTTCATTGTGGCAACCTCAAGGGATTCAAAGTGGCACCAGTATTTCTTAACCTTCACAGAGCTGTGAGGATTGTTGTCATTTCAGAAAGAAGCAAATTACTTTTCTGTGAGCAAGTCATCCTCCTACTTTGTACCCATAATAATGATCACACATGTACCTGTTTTTTTCCTTGGCATTCTTGCCAGCTTTCTCCCTGAAAATTGCAGTTTGGTGTGCCAGTCTCAAGTCTCTTGTCTCTAGTCACTGTATTGAATCTCAGGGCCAGCAGATTCATTACTCTACCTTCTGCTAAACTACCACTCTATCTGCATAAGATGCCTCGGGAAAGACCCTGGCACATGACAGTGTATATTATTAGCTTCTCTGCCAAAAGCAACTTCTGGAATAGTTCTAACGAAATCTACATTCCCTGTTTGTTCATCAGGTGGAATCAAAGGTTGGATGACATTTAGGGTATGGACCAGATAGAGCCATCCAGTAAAAATAGACTGTGGATGGGCCTGGGTGAGTAGCTCACAAGTGGTCCAGGCAGCAAAGAATTGCCCATGGTGTTTCCATCTCAGACAAGGAGCAAGAAAGTCAGCCAGATTCAGTCTTGGGTCTCCTGCTGCTGAATGAGTTCCACAACCCTTCTGTAATTGCTATCAGTTAATCCTCCTCATCGATTATAGGCTGCAGTTTGCCACGATCTCTGGATTTTCTAGCTTTGTTAGTTTTTTAGACAGAGTCTCACTATATAGCTCAGGCTAGCTTCAGGCTCCCAGACGTTAGAATTAAAAGTGTATGCCACCAAACCTAGCTGGCTTTTCTCCATTTAAAGGAACATAATGTGAGCACCATGATGTGGGTTATTACTTGTCTTGTACTCCTTTGCTACTCTGGCTGGGGAAATACCTCCAGCATCTTTAGCCCTTTGGGCCTTCTTTCCTGTGGTGTTCATGGAGATCATGTGTTCATCAAAAAGGAAATGGTTTCTATGTATTATGAAGTAATGTTCTGCCCTTTGTTCTAAATCTAGCTTAATCACCACATGCCTGTGAACAAGGCAGAGGAGCGACTGTAGGGAGGGAACACAGGAACTGCTTAGGGGTCTGTATTGATAAGATTCGTTTGGACACATACATATGATCATGATGTCAGGAATTTCCAGTCCTGATGGATAGCACCTCTGCTTGAAATCTTTTCAAAACTAATTCATCTTTAAAAAATCATCCCATGATTTCAGGAATCCTAAATTCTGAATTCTAAATATCCTAACACCTCCTTTCTACCTATGTCATGCAAACAGGGCCCATTAGAGTGAAATGACTCTCAAGTTTCAGGTTCTCATGTAGCAGAAAACCTTGTTAAGGAAGTTGGTTAGGGTGCAGTGTTGGAGAGAATATATCCCACAGACCTTTTCCATAGTGAACTAGTTAAGTCTGTGATCTGTAGGAAAGGAGAATTGTTCTATATTGAGATGTTTCTGGCCACTAGCTTCAACACACTGCTGAATATAGTACTAAAAGTATTTCAAAAGTATTTGGTAATCTTATCAAGGACAGAAGTTACTAAAATGTACTTTGATAGAAAGGCAGCAACCAGAAAACCATAGTTTCTCCTATTACTCAAGTATTAGTATGAAGAAATACATGAGTGCTATTGTATGCAACTCCACGATAAGACGATAAAGTGGGTGTGCTCTGGTTCCAGATAATGTCAGAGTTCAGGCATGGTAATCCTAGAACCAGCTTTC